CACTCCTTTAGTAACTATCTGTATGATTAAGTCGCTAACATTTATTCTACAGCGTGATCCGAAAGTCTTGTCATCTGTACATAATATAATTTTCTATTTCAGATGGCTGATATCTACTCTTGTAGTTTGGAAGAGAGACTGTTCTGTGGGGTATTATCAAGGTGAGAGTTTCACATAAACGATACCAGAATACACATCAGCTGAAGGATGCCGTTCAGAGAGCCTTTAACACAATTAACAACACACGGCTTCGTAAAATATCGCACAGGACATGGCGTCGCATCATTTTGTGCCACGAAAATGATGGTGTTTATACAGACCTTCTCGATGTGTGACAGCGTCAATGAAAGTGAAGGAACTAAATTCAGTATATGTGTTTTGTATTACCTTTTCTTCTACTCTTCTTACTTTTATTATAGTTGTGACAAGACTTTTGGGACACGCTGTATACTAAGGCGCCATCTTGATTTAGGCACAAATGTACAGGCTTATCCAGAAGTTCGAATTACTCTTGAAATGATAATATCTCATCCCAGAATTATTTTTCATGCCATGTCTTTTCAGAAAGTTGGCGATCATGACTCTTCATAAACTCTCCTTTCTTTTATTATTATGCCAAGAACTTTTGGGAGAGATAATGTAGTGATATCTTGTAGTCTATTCACAGGTTTAGAATTTAAAGGTTTTCTTTTCTTATACTGGTTGACAACCAAGGCTAGACAGTCCAGTTTATTCCGCTCTTTAGTACCTAACTGGAAGGAGAAGTGACGGACCTTTATCTTTCTCAAGGTCAATAATATGAACTTTAACGGTGATGTGGCAATTTGAATTTGGTTCGCCAATAAAAAAAAACTGGTTCCTAATTTAATTGGCAAAACAACTTTCTTTCAGAGTTTGACAACCAAGACTAGATTTTCCAGTCTACTCCACTCTTTAATCCCTATCTGGGAGGAGAAGAAGCGGATTTATACCTTTCTCAATGGTAACAGTGTAAAAATAAACGACTAGGTTGGAATGAGAATTCGTGACAATACTCGGACTTCTTTGGAAAAAAAAATGAAATCTAAAAAAAATGGTGCCTAATTTCATTGACAAAACAACTTAGGATTTACAAAAAAAAATAAATAAATGGAAATAACACGTTCTTAAAAAGAAATAGCCGGCGGAGAGAAAAAAAAAACGGGTTCATGCCTTACGTGCAAAAATGAACGCAGCAAACTAGTCCGCAATTTGAACTCGGCCCGCTGATTCCACTTTCCGCGATTATATCTGTTACGCTATCGGCATATACCCCCAGAGTTATATCAGTCAGTTATGTGCCATACGTGATACACGCTTAACCGATCATGCGTCTTTTGATACATGACCGACGAGGTAGATTTTTCCCGCATTAGGTCGCGATTTCTTTCTGCGGTAGACCAGTTGTCATCCAAGGCTATAGAACCCATAGCAGGGGAGAAGAGGATTTATACTTTTCCCAAGTGAATTAGCACCTAAGTGAATGTAATGGATTTGACTGTAATTCGAACTCGGCTCTCCGATTCCTCAATCCGAGCCACTATCCATTACTCCACGTAAAAATGAGTGGCTGAACAGTTCTGGCAACGGCAAACAAAAAAAACAAAAAAAAAAACAAAACAAAACAAAAAAACAGAAAGAATATCAGTCGTCTGAATATCTCTGGCAAAATGCTGAGATACTAATGTAAATATAATTTTCCCAACACCAAGACAATGAATCATCAAATAATCTCCTTCTGGTTAATAAATTAATAAATATTTAATATTTTTCAACCAATGAGTCACTTTCCCGCCAACAATAATAAACATGCTTTGCGATGCCTTTGAACAGCATTAAAGTAAAGTCTCTAGACTGACAAAACAAGTAAGAAGAAGGAACGGCAACATACGACGCACACAGCTTCAAAGGAATTCCCCTAGCTCGTTCACCCCTTTTCCCTCACCAAGCTACGTTGCACTTACACTCTTTCTCGCCAAGCTACGTGACATTTACATTCTACCTCACCAAGCTACATGATACATAAAATTTTCCTCAACGAGCTACCTGATATTCACACTTCCTCGTTGAGCTACGTGACACTTGCGCTATTCCCCAAAAAATTATGTGATATTCAATTGTTTTCCTCACCAAGCTACGTAACTCTTAGATTTTCTACATCATTTTCTTCTTTGCCTCTTTTTTTCACATATACACGCGGAGAAATTAAAGAAGACCACACAAGGGTTATAAAAACATATAAGATATTTTTTCTTTGTTGTTGGCTGATTAAAATTCGCAACAATTTCTTCGCCCTTTTTCGCCTGAAGCCACTCAAGAATGTGAGTGATTCAAAGTCTCCCTTTTCGTTGATTGGTTACCACTCAATCCAAGAAAGCTGAATAACTCCCTGCAGATAGATACATTAAGGCGAAGTGTAAGAAAACAGATTTGGTCAGATTTTTGAACGTGATACCTTAATCCCACTTTCAGTGTTGCTAACCATACGGCTATCTTTATATCCATAAACGTATATTGGTATTAATAATTCAATTAACACAAGTGATAATTTTCAGTTTTCGTTTCATGTGCTGTTGTTAATACTTCCTTAGCTGGTTATCGTTAACAAATATAGCCGTCTTGTCAAATTGCTATGAGCGTTATGCTTTAATTGGATCAACAAATTAGCGACATTTATTTTTCGTTGAATTTAGAGAATTTCTAACTACAATTAATGAATGCACGTATTTGTAAAATATAATTATTTGCATATTGCAATTTGCCAATCAAAACCGATTTAGAAGAAGTATTTCCCTCTCATCAATCGTATAGATTGTTTCGTGTATTGAATACTGCTGCCATACCTGATCTTGTGCTTCTCTTATGTATCTCGATATTTCTGAGAAAATTCAAAGAAAGGTCTCTAATGTAATCGATCCTGACCTATCATCTTGACTTCAGTAACTTTCTCACTAACATTTCTACAGATATTTTCATGGTAATTGTTCTGATGACCTTTCCTTCTTGGTGTCTCGATTGCATGGATTTAAATGCGTTACTAGATTGGCAACTAGGTCTCACCGTTTTACTGTTGGATTAGCTAGATTCAACGGTATGATTTTATTCTAAGAGTTTCTTTTCTTGAAATTCTCTTCTATGGAACTTTCCTCCTATTTTTTATTTTTTTGCTTCCCTGCCATCTACAACCTTCAAGAAAATTATATGCAACGACAAAGGTCATCTTCTGTCATCATAAAATCTGTTCTTTTATTGTCCTTTTTCCTGATTTCTCGGGACTTAAGTCTGCTCCCTCACTTCCACTCCCGGTAACACCTTGCTTCTTAGTGGCATTACGATTTTACAAAATGCTCCAGTTCCTCGCTTAACAACTTACATGTTTAATGACCCTTCGACTTACGACCAGAAACAAAATCTAATACAATAAAGAAATGATGAAAAACATTATCAAGGAGAGAGTATAATAAAGGAATAAGAATTAAGAAAATCAACTCATATTGCAGTTATAGTTTCGTTGATTATATTGTAAAGGCGGAAGTGAGTTTCACAAGCCGGAAGTGCGAAAGAAGAAACTGTTATCATAGATAAATACGGTTACTTCCGGATATTTTAACTGTAAAAAGGATCAGACCTTATTGTCAATACTGTGCTTAAATTTGTAAAATCTCCGTACTAAAGAAGAAACCTCATCAGAACAATTAAGTTGAACATATTTATAGAAAAGGCACAGGAAAGCTACATTGCGGCAGTGGTATAGTGACTGAAGCTGGAATGGCAGATCAAGACCACTAACATTACAGATACATCTTTGTATTTTGTCAAGAATCTCTAAGAAGCACCAGACCAGATGGGCTAGCAATATTCGATGCATAGCGAATGATAGACTTATAAATAAGATGAGAAAAATGTCTGACATTACACAAGGAATCAATCTTCCTAGCAGCAGATCTAGCAATTTATTCAATAGAATCGTTCCACTTCATGTCAGTGGAAGACGTTAATCCGAGAAGATGCAACGAGTCACTCTGCTGGAGGTTAGCATCAGCCATGTTGATGGCAAACCAAAATGGTTCTCCAAGAAGATTAAATGGGAGTAGTTTCGATTTAGAGGCGCTCAAATTTACGAGGAGTATGCAAACCAAAGTAATGTACAGCATACAGAGTTGAGTGTCAAATTTAATTATTAAGTTTAGTGTTCAGTACACCAATGTACTAAAAAAAACATTTAGAAATAAATTAAAAATGTTAGAAATGGTGAAGAAATGTTACCTGGAGCTATTTGAAGCTTTTTGAGACAAAGCCATAATTACACGCTTAGCATTCTTGAAATATCCTACCAGGTACAGCTTCTCACTTAGCGACCAGTTGAGCTAACCACTTCGTTGTAAGAACGGAGTCCAGTCGATAAATGAGGTTTTTAGCTTGATTGAATTGTTTTTTTTTATACGGGTTATTTCTCGATTATTTAAAGCCGAATCATTTTTTTAATTGTAAGAATAATTCACGAGTGAATATTCCATTAACAATTGCTTTAATGATAAGATTAATTTTCCATATACATCCTATTATTTAACCGATTGATGGGGAGAAGTGGTGATAGTATTCTTTTCTAAAGGATGTTTTCACATTCATTAAATGAGGAATGGTTGTGTTTATAAAATAAAAAGTAGTCCGTCCAGGTTTTTCTGTGATTTGTTTTTAGATATGTGTATGTGTATGAGAGAGAGAAAGAGTGTGTGTGTCTGTGTGTGTGCATGTGTGATTGAAAGAGAAAAAAATTCCGTCATTCAGACAGTTATTCTTTCGTTAATTTATTCATTAGTTTTATATTCATTCGTTCCTCTGTTCATAAGTTAATTCATTCATTATTCCGTCTATTCATTCATTCGCTTATCAATTCCTTTATTCCTATTTCAATTCATTCTTTTTACATTTATTTTTCGTCTATTCATTCATTTTTGTCATTCGTTTAATTATTTCTTGATATGCCCAGTCGTACCTTTATACTTTTGTCTATAGATAAATTCCTTTGCCCATTCTTTCATTCTTTCATTTATTCATTCGTTTATTTATTCTTCTATTCATTCAGTCAATTATTCTTTCATCTATATATTCATTCCTTATTTTGCTCATTTATTCTTCCCGCCTATTCATTCAATTGTTCGACCATTCTTTTCTTTCTATTTTCCTTCCTTTATTCACTCGTGTATTCATTCATTTGTTCGTTCCTTTATTTATTCTTACTTTCATTTATTCTTTATATATTCATTCTTTCGTTGAGTTTTTCGTCTATTCTTTCATTCGTTTCTTTAGTCATTCTTTCATTCCGTTCATTCTTTTGTCTATTTATTATTTCGCTTGTTCATTCATTCCTTAATTCATTAATTCTTTCGGCCATTATTTTCTTTATTCTTTCCTTTATACATCTAGTTGTTCATTCCTTTATTCATTCATTCATTGTACCATTTATTTTTTCCCTCATTATCTTTATCTAGACACCCATTCTTTCGTTCATTGCTTCATTCCGTTATTTATTTCTGTACATATTCCTTAATCTTGCTTATTCGTTTATTCTTTCCTCGATTCCTTCAGTCATTCATTTACTCATCCCTTCACATTGAGAATTTCTTTAATTTCATTCTCGTTTTTTTTTTTTTTTTTTGCTTATTTGCTTTTGTCCTGGACCAAATTATTTGCTGACACGTTTGACTGTTCCTCAAATGAAAATTGCGAAAACCTTGAATTTTTCATATTCGAGCCACCACTTTTCCTTTAATCAGCACACACGCCCAATCCGACTTGTGTCTGCTTAATTGCAGCTGACATTCTTCGTCCCACAAACAGTAAACTTTCATCCCGGGAAGAAAATGGCTTTTAACCATCTTTTTTCTTTCTGGCATTTTGCAGAGTAAACGCTCGCGCTCAAATATCATACACTATCAACAGGGGCCATTATCTTAGTGTCTCTAAAGCCTATCCTTTCAATTTGTGCTATTGAAGGCGACCGTATGAAACTGGGTGAAAGAAAGGTAAGTAATTGGTAAGACAATATGACAGGTGCCTTAATAAGATAATCAGCAACTGAGAAAAAATGGCGTCAAAATTAGACGAACTTGTTATAATTTGTTTCTTCTTTCTCGCCACATCTACCTTGCGTTATCATTGACTGTCTAGTATCAGACGTTCTTTCCATGGAGAAAATTGAAAAATTGGACCTGTCAAATATCGTATTGTTTTACCACGGGAAGAAAAAGGAGGACTTTTTCAATTTATCAGATATATTTATGGGACTAAAAGAATTATTCTGACGGTTTACTTTCTACGCAAGAATTGTTTTTTTTTAATCATAATTCTATATAGTCTGAAACTATTCGTAACCCGGAACCTATAAAAAGAAATATAGAATCTTTTTTTTTAATCTGGAACATTTTCTCTGAAAAAAAAATGTGTAAGTTCAGACACGTCTAGACGTCTGCTGCAATTAACTTGTTCATTCATCATACGTATATATGTGGGAACCTACAAGAAAAAAAGATCCTGTGGCGTAATTGTTCTAGTAAGATAACAACTAAAGACACCAGTATTGTTTAGCGGCTTAAACGATCTGCAGGCCATCGGATGAGCCGATGATCACTTTAAGCGCGAAAGTGATAGTGACGAGTCACTGTCCATATTGTTCATATCCCGGATATTGAACATTCTTGTGTACCGTAAATAATAAAATAATTATTTCCTTGAAAGTGGGAAACGATGATCGAAAGTATTAGGAAGATTATACACAATTTTGGCAAGTTCCTTTATAAATTTCTATCTGACATTAAACACATTATTCGATAGGAGTAACGCACAAAGGCGTTTAACAAACATTCCTTGATGTTTCTGAGTAATAAAATGTGTTAAACGAATTTCAGCCTAAATGTTCTATCTGTGACACACACACACACACACACACACACACACACACACACACATATATATATATATATATATATATATATATATCCATAGTAATGTTTTATAGTATCGCGAAAATATTCGCCAACAATTAGTCATTCGTGGCTGGCTAATCTTGGCAACTCTATATACAAAGGTCTGCAAAAGTAGATATAAAGTAAGTATTATTCCAGTATTGATATGTTTGTATATTCAATACAATACGTTTTGTGTGCAATTTTTGTTTTTATTGCTGTAAACCTACTTTTGCATTCATATATATATATATATATATATATATATATATATATATATATATATATATATATATATATATATATATTTACAGCAAAAAATAACAAAAAATACCTCAACATGGGATAGTCTATTTTAAGTTGTTCTATACGCGGCTATCATCAGCTCCTACGGTTCTGTCTCGGAGTATTGTTTTAAATTTATTTTCACTGTCAGTGCTCCTCTGGTAGACGCCTTGTTAATGAGAATGGGCTTGTGTTAGCGATTGGTGGTGGGGGTGCGTAATGTATTTTATTCCGGGAGATCGGTCTAGGGCTGAAGTTTATTTATGTCTAGAACCTTTCGTTGTTTGTTGTTTAATATCAGTTCCTATCCACAATCTATAAACCTATAATTCAACTAATTTACATTAATCTTAAAGGGTTTAAATTTAAATCTCCTATCGCTTATTGATAATATTGAGCACCGGTAGTACAAAACTATTTAATGTGAATCCCAGGAAACATACTTGGGGCACGTATAAGAAACCCCACATAGTAGGAAGTGATATTAAACTACAAAGAATGAAAGGATCTAGCCATAAATAAACTCCAACCCCAGACTGCTTTCACCGGAATAAGGTCATTGCGCCTCCTCCACCTGTCGCTAACGCAACCCCATTCTCATTAACAAGGCGTCTACCAGAGGAAGACTGACAGTAAAAATAAATTTAAAACAATGCTCTAGGACAGAAACTTAGGGGCTGATGATAACCGCATACCGAATGGCTTGAAATAGACTATCCCAAATTGAGGTAATTTTTGGTGTTTTGTTGTAAAAATACATATGCTCTGTTATAATAATACATCGAGCTCTGTGTGGATCAGTTTTGATAATTAATATTACTAGGATACATCCGGATTATATACCAACGGATCGATTATTTGTATTATACACACATGCACACACACAAACACACACACATACACATACACACACACACACACACACACACACACACATATATATATATATATATATATATATATATATATATATATATGCATTCTAGTCCTCCGAGGCCCTTATGGTCAGCGCAGGCGTCCTCCAGGGGTTACTTTTCGGACCACCTCTCTTTCTGATTTACTTAAATGACCTGCCAAAGATCATTTGTAAGCATCTACGGCGATGATACGACGCTATACGGGTGTACCTCTAAAACTCTGGACTAACTTCCCAGTGTGGGGAAAAAAACTGGCTGGTTACATTCAATGCCTCGTAAACCAAATTAGTTACATTCCATCACCGCCAATCAGACCCCGAATGATCGCCAGTCACGATGACCGGATGTACCTACGACGAGGCACCGTACATTGAGAGAATATTGGGCCTCAAACTCACACCTGACCTCAAGTAGGACAATGCAGATGCAGGTAAAATGATCAGCTCCCTGTGCTGCTCCAGTAAGTACCCGACTCCGCCTGTTATTCTCTATCTTTATAAGAGCAAGTTCAGGCCGAAAATGGAGTACTGTTGCCATATTTGGGCGGGAGATACGTCACAATTCAATTCTTAATGGAGTTCAAAAGCGCCTCCAAGTCCTTATTGGAGAAGAATTATTTTCCACCTTCCAACCTCTCAGACAAGGCGGGATGTGGCGAGACGCTCACTTTTCTATTGCTACTTCCATAGAAAGTGTTCGGACGAACTACATTCCTTCGTTTCTTTAGGTCTAACCTTCATGGCTAGGATCCGCCATAACACTTACATAGCAAACCATCCAGATTACCTTCGTATTTTCATCGGTGAAAAGTCAGTTCTACTTAAACAGCTTCTTTCTGCGAACTAATGCTCTGTTAAACAGACTCCTAAGAGAATGTTTCCTTGATCGCTACAATCCTAACCTCTTCAAGAGTTAACCGTTATTTTCACCTCCTATCTGTATAATCTACTCAACGTAACCCTCTACTTCATGTGTTTCCGCGGCTTTGGACAGAGTGAATATTACTGCAAAAAATATACAATAGAACGAATCGGTTCACGAAATCATTTTTGAAAAAAAAAATAAATAAAAAAATAAAGAAAAGATCTTTGGTGACAAAAGTAACGTTAATGGCAATAATATGCTAATAATATTAGACGTAATTTCTCGATTTTAATTTAAGCAATAATTTATTGGGCCAACTTATACTGATTTTGATTTTGATTCGACAAATATGTGTACCGCTTTAATCTGAAGACATCTATTAGATTAGAAAGGATAAATTTTAGCGAAAAAATAACATCGAGTCTCCCACTTCGCTCAGTAATCATTTTGCCCCATTATCGCATATTGTCTCGACCATTTTTTTTTAAAACGCGTACTATTTCTTCACAACAACACCAAATGAGTTGTTCTTTTTATTCTTTTCAGAACTAGGCGTCGGAAATAAACAATTTGGCATCATAATTCTATATCACAAAAGACATTTTTCTACTTTCCGCTTTACTTCTACCGAATCCACATTCGAATTAATCTTACAATGGGCGGCATATTGCAGATTTTATGAGTACAGTGTTACTAGCCTCGAATCAAAATGTGTTATCTTCTCATTAATCTCGTTAGGTTTGATTCAATTTGTCAAAAAGACAATTTATGCCAGCCATCCTGATTTTCTCTCCCAGATGCCTAATTATGTTCCCTAACTGACTGTAATCTGAGAAATATACTAATGACAAACATCTATAGAGTTGGTTTTTTTTCTGATTCTGCTATGGCCATAGTTATTAGAAAAAAAAAGATACAGATCAAAGCATTTATGCAATAACTTCCCTGTCAGCAGTTTCTTATCTCTCTCTTTCCATCTTTCTTCCACTCTCCACACACACACACACACACACACACACACACACACACACACACACACACACAAACACACACACACACAAACATATCTCTATCTATAAAAGGTAGGATGTGTGTGTGTAACGAATGCACGGCCGAAACTTTCGACGGATTTGCACCAAAATTTGCATGCACATGATCCAAATTAGCGGCAAGGCCAAGACCGCCATTGCATTTCCCAAGTTCCATTGATAGTGGAAATATTGAATTTTTTTATGCTTCTACGGCAGTTTTCATGTAGTTTGCGGCCATTTTCGACTGGCCAGAGTGAAAGCTGCCACGAATAGGCAGGAAGATTTTATTGGCCAGCGTGAGAGCCAACAGCTGACTGACACGAATGTTAACTAGCATGCTAGCATGCAAAAAAAAAAATCGATAGCTGCATTCGTCACAAGTGGGAAAAATTTAAATGTGCATGGCACTTTACTATAATTGGCTCATTCG